TCTGATTATGTTCAAATTTTTAATATTCAGTATACATCATGTCACAGATATACGGATATATTGGTTTGATGATCTTTTTCAAAGTGTGCTATTTTTGTGCTGAAAAAATTCTCGAATATCAAGCATTTCTTGCATTTATGGATGGATTTTGTTCAAACTTATAACACACGTTAGACATTACAGATTCCTGATGCATGTCATTTTATTTTTCAGATTGGATTCAAAATAGCTGACTGGCGGCCATTTTGTTTTAATGATTGGGCTTCTAGAGCCATATCTCTTAAATGCTTTGACTGATTATATTCAAATTTTATATATTCGTTATACATCATGTTATATATATATATATATATATATACATGTATTCAAAATGGCTGATTTTGAATGCTGTTCCAGAGCAATATCTCTCAATTTGGACAAGTACTTGTTTGACGATCAGATACAAATGTCAATCATTTTAATGTTAAAAAAATCATATTCCTGACATGGTTATATTCCAGCTATATTACTATAAACATAACTATATATCTTAAATTTGATAACTAACGGGGACTGTGCCATGCATGGCTTGTCACTGAATGGTTTGAATACCTGAAAATGTTAAAGTAGAGTCGTCGTTTTTGCTTTTTCAATGTGCGTCATTATCATCATTATGTGAGACTCGATCCTTATTCCTGCTCAGGTGATATTGCCTCCATTTTAATTGGTTTAAGGAATAAGTTGACTATTTAAAATGAGCCAGCTAAATCTGATTATAGAATGTACTATCCAGAGCATTATAGAATAAGGGATCTTACGCCATATTTGAAGAAGCATCATATTCTGCTTAACATTAAGTACAAACAACATATTCTATTGTTATGTAAATTATTATTCTTTGCTGGGGAGAACACTGCTACGGGGCAGGCGTATAATAGATTTAATTGTGTTACAATAAATAGGAAAACAAATTATTTAAAAAAAAAGATTAAAAAACTGTGTAAATTTTTCTGTGGGCAGACCTCATTGGCACCAAAAGTGTATAATAATAGTTTTTTAAAATCTAAAAAGTAGATACAAACTCAATCTGTACTGTGACCATATTACCGTAACTTCTATTTTGCATATTAGTCATATTTTTTCAGTAGCCTTTATACTTGCAATGTTCAATACTGTAACAGTGTAATTTTTATTGCTAAATGTTTTGTAATAGGGGATTTTCCGTACAATTGTGAGATCTCGTGAGATGTATGAAAAATGCGCGTTGAATGTCTGCCGCAAAAATCGAACGATTTGATTTGAACTAGAATTTCTTTATTTCGTAACTCACATCGACCGGCCGATCTTCGACAGAGGAATATTGCTTCCGAATACCCTTACTTAATCAAAATTGCCTATCATCAAATGTGAACAGCACATTATTAAGCATGGAAATGTCCCCCAGAATACTTCGCGTTTGTCGAATCCCACCCGATGTTTGACGCCACTACAACGCTATGACCTTTGTTTGCCCTGTTTTTATGTTCGATTTCATGCATAACGCGTGATTCTCGCAGTGAACGGACCGGTCTATTGCAAGATTTTATGACAATAGTGATGAAAAAATTTCACGATTTTCACTCAACATTTGTTTGTTTGTTATTATAGTATTATTATTTAATACTATAGTAGTTTTTTAGCTCTGCTGTCGACTTTGTCGAGCGGAGCTTATCATATGAGTGATTGTCCGTGTCAATGTTTTACTTTTTCGACTTCTTCTTGAAAAC